TATCAGGAAGAGGTTGACGAGTATCTTTCGAAGGGCGGGGTGACGGAATTGTAACATTCCACTGTTTTATTTCACCATTCTTTTGAGTTGTGTCCCATGTATAGTACTATATCTACAGCAGAAGAAAATCACATTTGTATCACACCTGAGCTTTACGAGGCCTGGATGAACCGGAGCTACAGCCATGTATCTGTGATGTATGGCTGGGCTATCCCACAGCTGCACAAAACCTATTTACATGGTTAATGACTACGTAACTCGCATGTACCTACGTATGTGATTCCAACATATTAAGAGATGTTGGGGTGCACGTAGCATCCACATATCCTAGTGCCAGTGTGGTGGCAGTCCAGAACTAACGTTGTTGCCACAATGCACCGGTGTGGCGACTATGTGGCGGTGTCACCTGTTTCGGATGAAGCTTCAATGTGGTGCCCACATTGGTTTGCTTCGGAGGTGTAGGAAGGGCACGAGTACTCCGTTTCATCGACTACCACCGCATTTAATAGGGGCGTAGACCGACGCGACCGGTTTCTGGGAGAGGGTCGTTGTATCGTCTGCGGCGTGCTATGCCCTCTCCAGCATTACCAGATCCTGCCCGGATCGAATATTGCTACTGTGAGCATGATGTCCCTGAGCTCCTCAGTTGGGCTTTAAAGTTCGGGCGAAGTGGTCGGATCTCCTGTCCCGCAACTGCATTCCTCCACAGGCAAAAAAGACCCCTCAACACGACCCGCGCAATGGGATGCTCATGTACCTGAATCACCGCGCGCTGTTTGATAGGTTTGACTACTTCATACGTTATTTCCTGGAGGTAGGCTGCCATTGCATGTAAGCAGCGCATCAGGTGCTCACAACGTTTAGATACGCATGTTTATGCTCGTGAATTACTCTGGTTCGCGGGATCTTCAGCCCTTCCATGGTAAAGCTGCTGCTCTTGACATCAAGGACAGATACGCCCCTTTCCCTTCCTTGTTCATCATTCATGAGATGCGCGTGCAAGGATTCCATCCCTTCGCCCTTGTGATGCCTTCCATGCCCCTGGCCGAGGCCATCGGCTGGCAGGACTGGGTCACCGCGGACGCCCTTTTCGACACCGCCACTGGCACTATAAAACGCGACCCAGATGTAGGGAGGACAACGCTGCCGCATCTCCAAGGGGAACCGCTGGGACAACCTTCAAGTGGACTTGCACCACTGGATTCAGGCACCATTGCAGACATCCTCATCGCGACCCGGACCATGCCAGCCTGGAAGGCGTGCCAGATCGAGGGTACTAATTGGGAGGGTACCGCCCAAGAAAACATACAGAAATACGTATCCTCGATTGGTACGGAGGAACGGCCATCGTGATTGTAGCTTTGTAAGACCAGCATCATGGGTGTATACAGTATGTTGTATAATTTCAATGTATAATAGTTGCCCAAAGCAACATGTCGTGCCAGTGTAACATGTTGTGTGGCATGTCCAACCCTCCCGCCGCCACCGCGCGCCGTAAGCTGCATTGGGCGCCTGCATATCCCTCCGTATGTTAACCTCCCGCGAATATCCGCAACTTCGTTCTTGATTTCAGAGCAGCATGGTGTCTTGATTTCGCGAGTATTCCGTCTTCCCGGCTTGGGATGGGCTCATCGTTCCGCCATGAGCGCGGCCGTGATAAGCTCGTGCGCGCCCCCCGCCTCCGTCACGGACTCAGATGAACGAACAGCCGCCGTCCCAGCTATCCACCGACGCGCTCTACGAGCTTCTGCGACCGGTAACGGTTCGGCCGGAGTCGCCAAGGTCGAGGTTCTACAATTGGGCTCACACATATACCTGCAAGCCCGTCGCGGTATTCGAGCCGGAGCACGAGCGTCAATGCGAGCTGATCGTGGAATTGGCCCGACGGGAGGGAAAGACTGTCCGAGCGGCGGGCGTGGGCCACAGCCCGAGTGATCTCCCATGCACGAAGGACTTTTTGGTTCGGGTGACGAAGTTGAACAGGCTATTGGAGGTGAGTGCGGGATTCAAGTTCTCTATGGTGTCATTGATCCATCCAATATCGACCTCTGACAAGGCCAACTATGAGAAGAGATACATCGTGGTAGAATCAGGCATCACTCTTGTCGACCTGAACGAGCAGCTCCTGCAGCACAACCTCGCGCTCACGAGTATAGGGTCTATATCCGAGCAAACTCTCGCAGGCACCATCGTCACCGTCAATCACGGCTCGGGGCTGAACTACGGGACCTTATCGACCCACGTCTTGGAGCTGACCATTCTCCTCGCTGATGGCAGCAAAGTTCGCTGCTCACGAGAGGAGCTGCAGGACCTATTCATGGCGACTATATGCGGGCTCGGGAGTACTGGACTCATCCTGACGATCAAATTCGAAGTCGAACCCGCGTTCCGTCTGGAGGAGAGACGGTTCGCTCTCACATTTGATGAGGCAATGGAGAGCTTCTTCGATCTCGCGCAGCGATCCCAGCATACGCGGCTCTGGTGGTTCCCTCAGACGAATCTTATGCAAGTGAGCCTTGCTGACCGTACGGACAAGGTACGCGTAATTGCTATCCACCGTCCATCGTCTTCAGTTTATGAATGTGTCTATGCAGCCAAAACATAGAGAACACAGCTGGTTATGGGAAACGGTCATAGGATATCACCTCGTGCAGCTCCTCCTATTCCTGGGACTGTTCGCACCGACTCTGAACGTCTGGGCAGGCCGCCTGGTATCTTGGCTTATCCAGGAGCCGACTGACGCAGTCGACGACAGTCATTGCATATTCAACGTCGAGCACCGCGTAAGCCTGCCGTCACTTCATTTCGTGAGCTGCTACTTAAATGCGTAACGTAGTATTGGCAATATACTATAGAGTACGCGGTCGATTATCGTGAAGCACCGGCTTGTCTACGGGATCTCCGAAAGTGGCTCGACAAGGAGCATTCGGACCCTTGCGGCCTCCGCCCGCACTTCCCTATCGAAATACGGTTCTCATCGGCGGATGATATATGGCTGAGTCCCAGCAACGGCAGGACGACGTGCTGGATCGGAATCGCACAGTATAAGTGAGACCATCATGATCGCACTTCACTATTCGAAGCTTGCTGAGTCTGACGCAACCTCCCAGGCCTTATGGACTCGATGTTCCGTACCGAAGGTTGTTCGACGAGTATGGTGCAATCATCGCCCGCCATGGTGGCCGTCCGCACTGGGCTAAGGCTCACCATCTGCGTCCTGAAGAGGTGCGCAAGCTGTACCCGAAATTCGATGATTTCCTGCGTACTGTCAAGAAATACGACCCGTCGGGGATGTTCCGTAACGAGTATGTCGGGAGACATATCTTTGGAGCCAGTGGACCGGAATATTACGAGGGAGTTTTTCTTCGTTATGTGCCTTTACGTGCATGATCAGGACTAGGTGTATGCAGGTGTACGATGTCTTGCTTGATCTGATATATTGCTTATGTTGTGATCAGTAGAAGCAATGGGTACAGTAGTCATTGGGAATTAATCCGTCAAGGGATGTATGCTATAGTACTTGATGCAGGACTTATGAGAGACCCTGAGATATGATACAGGGGAGGACACTGACAACGGCCCCCGATAGCCCAATCCAACTACTCTTCCCAACCCATTGCCTGATCCCGCTTAGCCTTCCTGTATGCATCCCTTTCAGCTTCAGTAAGACATAACCACCCGTCGATCGTCTCCTCCAACTCCATCTCCCACTCTTCCTCCATTTCCAGCTGCTTCTTCGATTTCCTTTCCTTGGGCTTCGGTGGTCGCGGCGGAGGAGGCGGTGGAGTGCGGCGATTGGGGTGTAGTGGGGCAATACGAGACAGAGCAGACTTGGATGCTTTGAGGAGAGGGTGCGGGGAGGATGTCGAGGCGGCGAATGGGGAGCCTGGTTGGGAGTTGACGCGCCGGATGAGCTCGGACATGGGCGTGGACTTAGGCTTGATGCTGAAGGAGCGACGGGGGGCTTTGGGGATGGATGGCCGTGGTGTACTGCGATGGTCTTCCGGCACAGGAGGCGGTGCATTTTCCTAGATAAATGCGATGTTAGATTTTATAACGAGTTCAAGAATGACGGGATAATGACCTTCAATTTCGAAGACGCGTTATCTGGCCTTTCCTCCACTAGAGGCACCGCATGCCCTGGAGATGCCTTGTCCTCCTGTGCTACACTATTCGGTGTATGCGCATTGTTAGGCGCCGCGCCTGCATCGTCCACCGCTTCATCTTCATCCGAGTCCGCTATCACAACTCTGCTCTTTCTACCTGAGGTTGCCTTACGTTTCGCAGCCTTGGAGTGGGGTTTCGTCGGAGACTCCGAGGCATCTTGCTGTCTGGGGTCAGTCACCGCTGTGCGAACAGTCTCGCGGTCTACCGGTTCGGAATGCGAGGAAGATTGACCTGGGTTGACACCTTCCAGCAGGGTGGCGGAATGGAATTTATCAGATGAAGTGGCTTCTATCTCTTGCCTCAACGGTGCAGAGCCGAGCTCCTCTTCGGAAGGCACGGGTTTCTTTCCTTTCGACTTCTTCCCTTCGGCTTTCTGTTTCCGACCACGTTTCTTGGTCTTGCCATCGTCGTCACCGGGATCGGGGTCTTTTCGCTTCCGCTTTCCCGGCACTTTGACTGCAGGACTCGTCTCCGAAGTGTCAGGCTCTCGGGCATCCATCCTATTGGAAGCTTCTGGTCGTGGTGCTTCCGGGATGGAGGAGGGAGGCGCTGCGAAGAACAGCGGCATACTTGCCTGGGCTGACTTCTTGTGGACAGTAGTTCCGCCGTCAGGCTTATGTGGTATTGAAGAGGGAGGTTCGGGCAGAAACAACGGTAAGTCTGCCGGAGCTGGTCCGTCGTGAGCGGCAGCTTGCTGGGGCTGATCGTTACCCTCGTCTTCTTCATCCCACACGACTATCCTTCTCTGCGGAAGGCGTCTCCTCTTGCGCTGGCCACTAAGGTCGGAGCGAGGAGAGGACACAAGTACGGTAGGGACGGTCGAAGGGACGTCTGACGGAGGTAGCGTGGAAGTAGGGATGGAAGGGGATGTAGTTGCTAGAGGGATGGTATTCTGCGATTGGAGGGATTCCGAGACCGCGGCAATAGGAGAGAGAGGAGTTGAGGCCCTTCGGGGCCGCTTGGCAGACTTACTAGAGGACGCAGAAGTTGCATGTTTGCTGGATGGAACCAAAGCCAGTTCGTCTTCAGAATCCGAAGCAAGATCGATGATGTCGTCGGGCAAAGCAGCAGCTGTCTTTGATTTGGCTGGTTTAGTTCTTGAATTGCCCTGATGGTCTGAGACATTTGGAGTTGGCTTTTTACGCGAGCGCATCTTGACACGCTCCGCGAGGTCCTGAGAGTAATTATCGGCTGGGGTTCTATCACTGAAACTTGTGGCTGCAGGTCGTATCAGGTCTCTCCCTGTTACTGGATCTGAGGTGGTTGATCGAGGATTGGATGGGCCCTCAGATGGTTGGCCAAATTGCACTGAGGCCGACCCGACCTCCGTCCCTAGCTCTAGTGCCTTCTTGCCTTTGTACGCAGGGCGAGGGCGAGGTCGAGATCCAGAAGCGGAGCTAATTGCAGTCGTAGGTGTTGTAATATTGGAAACATGCGCGGCCGTGTTCATAGATTCAAAGCGCGATATCGTTGAGTGCTCCGCGGACGGAGGAATCTGCCTGGCTGAGAATGACGAGATGGCGGAGGTAGCGGGTTGATCACGGGGCGAGTCAAAAGATATGTCTAAAAGAATTATAAGAATCCCAACAACGGTCATCTACGCTGCATAGTGAGCGATACACTGAAGACTCACCCGAAGCGGTGGTTTTCGATGTCCGTCCCGCTCGCCCGACCGTCATAGGCAGTAACGTGTCGCCAGACATGTCAATGTCTTCTCCCTCGCTATCAGCTACAACCCAATCTTCTGTGTCTGTGGGTTTCGGTGTCATGTCGAGCAAGTGTGGCAAGAAGATGGATGCAAAGAGCGAGGACAACGCGCCTCGTCGGGACGCGCCCGCGTAAATCACGTGAATGTGACCGGTCACAGCGCAATTTCCCGGTCAAGCGCTTGCCTGCAGTGCGTCTGCTACCTGACGCTAGGCTGCATGCATCGTCGTACCGTCCAATGTCTCGCCGACCGACGAACTGAATTGCTGAAGAAGAGACTATGTCTGCCCTCCGATAGCATATCGTCTCAAAGGAGGCACAGAACTGGTGTTACTAGCAAGGGAAAGACAAAGCATCCGTCTTCAGCAAAATTCGCCGATCAATGGACTCGAATCTTGCTAAGCGCAGCCGCTGAAGGCAAACAGCGCCCAGGATGGAGTCATATCCCCCGCCGGGGAGGGGAGGAGCAGGTGCTGTCCCAAGATGTTTCTGGGCCCCCGAAGGGTATCGCCACGCCAATGAGGGAGCAAGCTGAACGGTTCACTGCACCCTCAGAAGAGGAGGAAGACATTGAAGTCGATGAGAGCTTTAGGAACAAGGCCTTCCTGCCTGGCTCTTTCTTGCATCTGAGAAGGTCTGTAATTGCACTCATGGATAAATTAGCGGGGTTCACAATCCATCTCCAGAAACAAAGTCGAGGGTCATGGTGTTCTGCTCGCCCGTGGAACCGAGTTAGGAAGAGAAATAGCCTTAACGCTCACGTCCAGTGGAGACATGTGGGAGCATTACGTTGAAGATATAATGTACAGCATTCCGAGGTTCGTTCCTACCTCGCTCGCTGCACGCTGTGGTACTCTACCTACTCCAGCAACGAAGGGGGAGCACTCTGCTCGTGTCACTGTTCTTAAGCAAGTCCGTGAAATGGAGAGGAAGCTCGAGGGCGCTCTAGCTTCTATTGGCAGACAAATCGGTGATCTGTATCCTATGGTCAAATCTAGCGACCCGGACGAATGGGCTCAGGTTACTCTGGATCAAGCCATACAACTGATCCCTCCCGCTCGCAAGTTGGACGACGCCCTACACGGTCTTGTGCTGCAAAAGAGCATACTAGACCGTTACAAAGAATTCACCATTGCTTCCACCTATGAATCTCCCCCAACACGCTTCCTGGCGCGTCCACAGTCACATGTGGATACCATTGATGCAGTTACGAATATGGTTCGTTTAATCGGCGAACCTCATGGTCCCATCCAATCTTTTGCTGCCAAAGCACGCAAGATCATTTCCGCGGCTCGCGAAAGAGACCTGGAGTCTTGGTACGAGACCCCGTCCTCGCAGCCAGTTGATAAGCCTGTTTTCGACTCGGATGATATCACGATCCTCACGTTCTTACGTCGGGCGCTGCGCAGAATACGTCACATTCAGCACGACCCATATTCGGTGGGCACGTCCACTATTGTGAAAGCGGTAGGTATGTACGAGACACCGGTTCTGGAGCATACAGTGAGGCAACTGCTCGTCGAAGTCGGAGTACTAGCGCCTTGGCAGGGCGCCGAAACAGAGGTGCGAGGGTTGACGTCCGACTATCCGCTGGACGTGAAGGCCTTGCCCAGGGTGGAGGAAAAGCACCTCATCAGGTCGTCTTGCGCAGGTGCCACCTCTATAGTGGACTCGGCCCCTGTAGGTCCGGACGACTTGTATGCGAAAGATCCTCTGGAGTCTGTGCGACATGATTTTGGCGATATGCCAGTTTACGTGATCGACGACGTCGACGCGCAGGAGCTGGACGACGGTCTGTCCATTGAGCCGATTGCTTCAGAGCCTGGCTCTGCTTGGGTTCACGTCCACATTGCGGACCCCACTTCTGTCATCCCCCCCACTCACTGGATTGCCGCTCGGGCCCGACAAATGATCCTTACGATGTACTACGTTCACGAGACAGACCCAATGCTTCCTCCGCTTCCACAGCTGAAAGATCTCAGCTTAGGTGCTCGGTCGGCTCGCGGTAAACCGGAAACCGTCTTGACGTTCAGTTTCAAGGTTGATCCGAGCGGCCAGTTCGCGGACTACAAGGTCAGGGCGGGTCTCGTGCGCAACGTCCGACGTGTGTCGTACGGCCAGGTTGATCGCGCATTGAAGCATGAACCTACAATGCCTAGGTATCCGTTCGGAAACGCCAGGGCACCTCGCGCTGTGGACGAAGTTCCGCTCGGGGAGGCAGACGTGCGCAATTTAGCCGCGCTGAAGGAAGTCGCCGATTATTTGTGGAATTACCAATACAACCGAGGGGTATTCAACTACGACATTCCAAGTGCGTCGATCAGCGCGTCCCCGCTGCCGCTGCCGCCCTCTCCTAGTGACATGGCGTTTCCTCATGAATACAGAGGGTTCCCTTCCTTGACGTATTCCATCGAGGACTTCTCTATCTATTCCCAGGGCTCAAGGAAGATAGTCGCGGAGTGTATGAAGGCTGCTTGCCGGGTCGCTTCGAGATTCGGCAAGGATCACGACATACCTTTGATTCGCAGGTCTCAGGCGAGGCCGAGTGCGCCGTCTGAAGAGGTTCTCCAGCAGGTTGTAGACAGCCGCAACTCTGCCATGGTGGCCGATCGCTATCTGGCACTGGCATTGGGTGTCAGTCCGGCTCCTGGTAAATACACCCTGCAGCCTGAGGAACACTGGACCCTTGGCGCGCCGCGGGGTGAGGGCTATGCCCGCGTCACGTCGCCGTTGAGGCGATTCTCGGACCTAGTCGCCCACTGGCAGATCAAGCATGCGCTCTTGCCTTCGTGTCCAGCCTTCACCCTGCCCTTGATGGAAGAGCTCCTTAAGGAGCAGGATCTTAAAGGCAAGGAGCGGATGAAGACAATGCAGATGCATATGATCCAGTGGGCGACCAAGTTCCTCTACCGGTGGAGGCACGATCCCCAGTTCGCAGGCAAACGGCGCGAGCACGATCCTTTGGAGAACCTCACGGCGCGGCTCGTCCAGGAGGCGCGGTTCGCGATCGTTGATGGGTATGGGATTGCCAAAGTCATGGTGCCGGAGCTCGCGATGGAAGGGCGAGTGGTCCGGTTGCGGAAGTCCGTGGAGAAGTATAAGCCCGGCGATGCGCTCCGCGTGCGCTTGGTGGAACTGGATAACCCGTATCTCTCCAACCTCAACTTCGAGGAAAAGTAGCGGCGCTCTTTGAGTAACTGCATACCTTCTCCGGCTACGGTCGACCACAGTATTCATGTATCGATTTACATAGGTGGATATAGAGTGAAGTAGAATAATATTGCATAATACCTCCCACCTCGTCTTGATGCGCTTTGAGAGGATGATGTTAGCATGTCCAGACACAACGGCACATTCAACAGGTCACTCTATGCTCACTGACCATTCAAAATGGAGCCACGCTGGTCACCAAGATCCCGATGGACGGTATCTGGACAAAATATAACTGGTCAGTTGTCGGAGCCTGCTCCCTTTGTGCGGGAGCGGCCGCACGAGAGCTTAGAACATCGTGCATGGTCAGCCAACCAGGATAAGCATAGTCGACGTCTCTTATCGCCACTAGGACGTGCTGCAGCTGCTCGAGCTATGCCTATGATATCATCCTCGGGTACGATTGTCTGATTTACCTCCATCATATGTAGTTCAGACATGACAGAGATGGCATTAACTACTCACTGCGGAAAAATACTAGCGCTCCACCAAAGGGTTCTGAGCCAGCACAAGCTTGAGCATATACATGTTAGGCTTAGTATTAACACGTCCACATGAGCTAATCTTCGTCGCTGCGCCTACTGCGATTGGCCATGTATATACTGTCACCTGCAGACATACTTGCACGTACCAGATCAGCATACATCTGCCGCGCCGGACACAGTAGTCGGCATTCCAGGTGCTACATTGACTGCGCGATGCAGACGCAGCACTTTGGCGGTTACTGCAATAGCAGGATGGTTCGACTGTGAGCGCAGGCCACCTGGAGCACCCGGTAGCCTTATAGACGGGTGTATCACGCCATACAGTGGCTCATCTGATCAGACCTGTCACCATACACGTCTTCGTCAGATTCTTGCATTCCAGCTTATTGGACGTCAAATCTGAGAGTGACTTCATACGAGCTTCTGGGAAGACTGCGGTGCATTATTGAGAGCATGAGACTGCGCCGACCTGAAAGAGACAAAGGAAGCTATGGTAGCCGCTAGAATTGTGGAGGTCCAGGGAGAGCTTATTTTCGGTGTTCTGGCTTGAGAAAAGACGGCCGGTCGACATCCCTCTCAGAGATAGTTTATTCGAGTGCAAGGGAAATGCATCATTGGTCGGTCTGTCGTAACGAAAGTCTAAGTGACCGTTGCTGTTATTTGGCAGGGATACGGGTGGAACGAGTAGACAAACATATGTCAGAGTCTTATATGGTGTGTGGCAACGCAGGTGATGGGATAGGCCGAAGCAGGGGCGCATGCGGACACGTGGAGAGCGCCTTCCCAAAAAGGCAAGATAGGAAGGACGTAAGGAGGCCCGGACGGTTAGGCGTTACAGGAGGCTTCGTATCGTTCGATTTTTAGAAAACGGGTGGCTGGCGATTTTTCTGCCATAAATACTCTTAACGACCTCTTCGTCCCTGGTACCATTCCGCCCGCCGTCTCTCACACTCCTCTCCCTCGTCGTCGACGACGCCGACAGCGACCACCACCGTTTTCGCGTCCGACGCCGCCGCCGCCATGGCCAACACGTCAGAGTACTTCTCACTCACCAGCGACTCGTGGGCAGGCTTCATTGCCGACGCTCAAAGCCGTCTCTCTGCCTCGCCCCGTCTCCTCATCCTTGCCTTGTTCAACATCCCCTTGGTTGCTATCGCCTTGAATGTGCTTTGGCAATGGGTGAGCTCGATCCGCAACAGCTGCGACCCTGTTATTCGGCTCTAATCACTTCTTGACAGATCGCCCCTCGCGACCCGTCCCTGCCGCCGGTGGTGTTCCACTGGCTTCCTTTCGTCGGCTCCGCGCCTTCCTATGGCAATGATCCTCTCAAGTTCTTCTTCGAGTGCAGGGAGAAGGTGCGTCTCTTTCGGTTTACTTTGAAATTCGGTGATTTAACATGTCACGTGCTCCTATTTCTTGCTTGCGCGCATAGTACGGCGATGTCTTTACGTTTATTCTGTTTGGCCGGAAGGTTACCGTTGCCCTGGGTCCCAAGGGGAACAACTTTGTGCTGGGTGGAAAGTCGGTAGCGCTGTCTGCAGAGGATGCCTACACAGTGAGTCAACCCGTCACATACCTCGATTCCTGTCTAATTATCCTGTTTACAGCACCTGACTACCCCAGTGTTCGGCAAGGATGTCGTTTACGATGTGCCCAACGATGTTTTCATGGAGCAGAAGAAGTTCGTCAAAGTCGGTCTCTCGACGGAGAACTTTAGAGCCTACGTTGGTATGATCGAGCAAGAGGTCTCAGACTTCTTCCGCCGGGATCCCTCCTTCCAGGTCTTCCAGAAGAATACCACCGAGGAATGGGGCTCCTTTGACGTGCTGAAGGCCCTGTCCGAAATTACTATTTTGACTGCGTCCAGGACGCTCCAGGGCAAGGAGATCCGCCAGAGCCTCGACAAGCATTTCGCGGATCTGTACTCCGATTTGGACGGAGGCTTCACTCCGATCAACTTCTTGTTCCCTAACTTGCCGTTGGAAAGCTACCGCAAGCGGGATGTTGCACACGCCAAAATGAGCCAGTTCTACCAGGACATTTTGCGGAAGCGCAAGGAGGGAGGCAGCGAGGTTTGTTCTCACCTTGTTTGCGCTCCGTGACGTAGCTGATTGTTCAACGTTATTTAGTACGAGCACGATATGATGGCTGCCCTGATGAACCAGAAGTACCGGAACGGTCGCCCCCTCGCTGACCACGAGATTGCGCACATCATGATTGCTCTCCTGATGGCAGGCCAGCACACGAGTTCCGCAACGGGATCGTGGACGCTGCTTCACTTGGCTGCGAACCCGGATATTGCGTGAGTATTGCCGTCTGCCTTCCGAGTCATGGCATTTGACTGTTTGTAGTGAGGCTGTGTATCAGGAGCAGGTCGAGCACTTCGGCTCAGGAGACGGTCACTTCCGTAGCATGTCCTATGACGAACTGAAGAAGCTCCCCGTCCTGGACTCCGTTATCCGGGAGACGTTGAGATTGCACCCTCCTATTCACAGCATCATGCGCAAGGTTCGTGATGAGGTGGTCGTTCCCCCGTCGTTGTCGGCGCCTGCAGAGGACCGGTCGTTCGTCGTGCCCAAAGGCTACTATGTCCTTGCTTGCCCTGCTGTTAGCCAGGTAGACCCCCGGATTTGGAAGAACGCGGAGGAGTGGGACCCGACACGATGGAGCGACCCCGAGGGTGCTGCTGCCAAGGCGTACACGGAATATAATGACGAGAACGGAGAGAAGATTGACTATGGTTTCGGCCTCGTCAGTAAGGGAACGGAGAGTCCTTATCAGCCCTTCGGTGCTGGGCGTCATCGGTGTATCGGTGAACAGGTGCGTGCTCCGACGGAACTAGGAACAATGCCTTGCTGACCCAGGGTCGTTTAGTTTGCGTACCTCCAGCTTGGCACTATCATCGCTACGATCCTGCGCCACGTTGAGCTTCGGTTACCTGGCCCCTTCCCAGCACACAACTACCACGTAAGCTGCAGTTGATCGTCGTAGTGGGCGTACCGCTCATATGTGTATCCCCAGACTATGATCACGCTTCCGAAGGAGCCCCGCATCATCCAGTACCGCCGGAGACATCGCGAGTAGAGGTGTCCGATATACCTTATCGCATTGCGTCTTGTTTTGACGACTTCAGGAGCGCCGGGCTCCTACCCCTATATCACGACCAGCCTATTAGAATGGATACGGAGAGCTGTCCATGGCGATAAATTATCAGGACCCGAGGGATGAAAGTAGATTATAATCTGGGTATGTTGATAGTAGTAGTAGAGGTACAAGGAGAGAGTTTCTGAACGCGAAGCTTTTCCTAATAAATGGGATTCTGAGCCGCATTGTCCGCGCATGGGTGGTTCTGGGAGAATGCTGCCGTTCGCACGCGCCTTGGTTCCAGACGGCATCTGGTAAACTTAGACGTGTTGGCATTGGTGCTTGACATTCGGACAAGTCCTCTTTACACTCGAGCACCCGTCGGTGTAGGTACTCTTGCTTGCTTACCGCCATGTCTTCGACAATCCCTGTACTGGTTATCCTGGTCGTCGTTCTCGGATTGATGGCTGCGACGTGGTTCACGACGCCGAAGGGACCCAACCAGACGTACGTGAACTCCCCCGAGCCTCGGTGCAACGTGCAGCGGATGTGATATTCACCGGACGCACAGGTTAATACGGACGAGCGTATTGCTCACACTGGCGTGCTGCTATCTCATGTGGATGATCACGTACTTGGCCCAGGTACACCCGCTAATCGGTGAGCTTGCGAGCGTTACGTGGGTGTGCGGGATACCGGCTGAGCTCTACTTCTAGCTCCTGTGAAGAATTTTGCAGTGGAGGAGTGAAGGGGTGGTAGGGGTTTGCTTGCTTTCGGAGGATCCGGCTAGGCGTTAGTATACCACGTACGTCCCCGTTCGCTCGTTTGCTATGCCGTGTTTCACTCCCGCTTTGCAGCATTTGTAGCATTCATGTATATTTCGCACTAATACATGGACGTTCCCCGCTGGTCCTTGTCACTAGTACGGTAGCAAAGGCACTCTTCGAAGGAATCACTATGCAGGAGTGTCTGTGCCCCACTCTTGCCCTGAGTCTGTACCCCATCCCGAATCCGATCCTGAACCCCATCCGGACTGCCAGGTATCCACCTCCGACTCTTTATTTGTATCCTGTACTGACCACCCAGCATGACTATTGCTGAACCTCTCTGTCCGTGCCTCCTCTACGGCCGACTCTTCAGTTTCGTACTCGGGATCTTCGAACAAGTCCTCCTCGGGCTCATTCCACCAGGACTTGGGCTTTGCCTCAGTTTGAACCCCACCGAGAAGCACCACATGCCATTCCGACCTCTCCGCGCCCTCTTCTTTCCTGATCTCCAGTCCTTTGTGCTGTTCGACTGCCGCAACTAGGTACTCGAACCAGCCACCGCACATGACCGAGATTTCCTGCTCCCACCACAGCTCCTCGAGTCTGATGACAGTCTGCCCGAAGGACTGCATCTTCGCCGCGACCGCGTCTCCAATTTCATTTAGCGGCACTGGGCGTCGGGCTTTGGGATGGGGAAGATAGTGGTGCGTCTTCAGCAGTTCATGCATACGGGCTTTACTGCCGCCCTCGAGTACTTCTTCCGCCTTCCTTGCTCTTCTATCTTGGCTCTCCTGGTCTTCTACGCGCATGAATTTCGCTACTTGGGTAGCATATCCCAGTTCCTCGTCGCGCCCCCATTCGTCCGGCTCCGCCGCTTTCCCTACTCCATCTACCTCGACTGCATACCCCCACTCCCCCGCCACGCTCTCGCACCACTCTTTGAACTCACTAACAGTCCATTCAAACTTGTGATCGTGATGTCTGAAGACCCTGTCCGTCCGCCGAGTGGGATCAGGGTACCCGCCCACTCGTGAGCCAGGGGTGTCGGGAGGGTGGAACCGGGCGTTAAACGTGAAGTTCGGGGTCGTCACTAGCAGGAGGCGTGGATGGTACACCCCGAGGAGTATGGGCGCGAATGCCGGTAAGACGTCTTCGGTCAAGTGCTCAATGCTGTGACCGCCACTGCTCAGACCGCCTCGCCACTGGATGAGAGACGTATGTCGACGCACACTTCCATGGCCACTATGCACTCGACGCCCACGAACTCCTCGTTCACGCTCTCCAGGCCCCCCTTCCAGATCTTTACCTCCAGCTCCTCCCAACGCACGTTCTCGTTCCAGTGCGCGGGCGGCTTGGGCGCGGTGCCCGCTATCGCGTATTCCAGATCGATCTCTGATACGTCGAGGCCGGCGATGTGTGTCGGATGGAGGTTGGCAATCTTGTCGGGCAGTGAGTTTGGCACAGGGTAGTAGGGCCGGTCGCTGGTAGACGGATCCGCGTATATAGACATGCCATGGCCATTAGGGAGTAGTTCGCTCGGTGGCGGGGGGAGCCATGGGGCCGGCTGACAGAGACATGCTAGCAATTCCCCTTCGCCGCATCCAACGTCGAGCACCTGCGTGAATGTTTAGTTTAGTACAAAGGCGCCGAGGGGACGAGACGCACTCGGGTCACTGCTTCCCGCCTGAGCTGATCCAGCACCCATCCTCTCCTTTGAAGATATAGATTTGGATGGAACGTAACCTTCAGTTCAGGTGGGTCGTCGGAAACGTTGGTCTCCCAGTCCATGTCTGCAAACAGTGCGCTCGCACAAAGCTCAGACGACTGTGGCGGCCTCAGGAGTATGCTTGCCGGCGTCGGAGCCCTGCAGCTTTATACATAGCTAGTCTGAGACAGTGGAAATTGAGAAAGGGCCCTTGTAGCGCTGTGGACGGACAAATAACCAAATAACACGGATATAGACCATGTGTACCAGATAGAACGATGGCCAGCTAGATTACAGGTTGTGTCTGAAAGTACTAATCACCAGACTAATAACGCGTACAACAACACAAAACAAATAAAGATCCAAAAAAGCTGCTACTTCTGCCCGTCCAAGCAACCGTTCAATGATTAAATAACGCGGAGAATATCGAAGGATAGGGAGAACAAAAATAAGACGATGACACACGCAGAAGCGACACTGTTCACAGTAATCCAGCATGTCGCAGATCCCTGGTCAACCGCTCCTCGGCAGCCAGAGCCTCGGGACTTATGCCGCGTCGCTCTGCGTTCTCGTCCTCTTCGGTGGGTATTCCAAAGACGATTTCCAAGTTACGGCGCACGGCTCGATCGCGTTCGAGCTCCTCGGGCGTTACGGTCTGCGGTTGTGAAGCTTGTCGGATAGAGCGCTCCCAACGCTTCACGCGCCAGAAGCCAATTAGTGATGTCAAGAGCAGCATCCACCCTATGACGCAACTGTCAGAGCTTACAATACAGACAGGGACAAAAAGGACAGACCCAAGGTCATGAGGATGAAAGCAAGCCATTCGCGCGAGGCCATGCTTCCGACATTGCCGTAGATCGTATCATCGGGCATCGTAGCATTGCCTACGATCGTAGTCGGAGAGGGTAGGCTATTCCCCTCTGCGGTAGTCTCCAGTGGCCATCCCTCCGAGTCATGACCCAGAAGCACCGTCCCCGAGCCGCCTTGTTCTCCATCCAACGGTATATCCGCCCTCGAACTGCGGGAATAAAAGCCGTACTGGATCAACGTCAGACCCAGCCCAGCCCTTGAGCCGTACTTGGCAGCGTGCGTCGTGTGCAAGAGATAGGTGAGGAGGAAGCCGGGGAACTGGAAGAAGAATGAGGTGAAGAAATTGGCGGCGAATTGCAGGACGGAGCCGGTCGGCAGGTCGTCGACGATCATGTCAGAACCATCCAGGGCAGCAGGGGCGTGAACGGTCGTCTCCCAGTACGGGGGTGCTGCATCTAGCTGTGCGGTAGCATAAGACTGTAAGATGACGTGGTGAGCACAACGAGGCTTCCGACATCATTTCCGAGGGACGAGACGTACTGGTGGTGCCTCCCTCTGCGACTCCTCGGGTACGACGTACATGTTACCATCATCGGCTCTAACTGCAACCCCCCTCGAAGGTTTGGCGACGACATTCGCGAACACTCCGTCATTCTCGATGCCTGCTCCTATCGGCCTGGTGTGACCGGGTTCGGTTGGCACCCGAGCATAGTGGGTGGGCAGCAAGGCTCCTACAGCTCTGCGAAAGAAAGATGGGCGCGGAGGAGAGGGTCTGACGACAGACGTCGGTATTATCCCATTCGAGTTGCCTAGGTCGCTGGGCAAGTTAGAAACAGGCGGAGGGGGTGATCCAGGTGGCGGGAAGTCGTAGTCCCTCTCGAAGTCGTACCCTCCAGGCGCATTAAGGACGACATTACTATTATCCTCTGAGTTATGGCTGTCGTGGTGGTTGTAGCCAGCTGTCAAAGGCCTCCTCTCAGAAACCTGCTGCTCCTCTTCACCGTCCGACTCGAATGCTTCGTCCATCTCACGCTCCATGTCCGGCGCAGAGCGCGGATTTGGCAAGGGAGCGTATCCTCCAGGCATTGGTCTGCCGAGGGCGAGCGTAGAAAGCAAAGGCCCAGTGCTGATCGATGCCAGGCGTGAAGCCGGCGAACAGCTTGGCTTGCCTGTCAGGCAGTGTAGCCTGGGACAAGGGAGATGATATACGCGGTTACTTCCGTCTCCTGTGCGCAGTGGCCTTCAAATCATATAAGATGTAGACAAGCGCCGGGACATGACATTTAAAGCATGCAGAATTCCACAGGATACATGTACAGACACAAGCAAAGAACACGGGAACAAAGACGAGCGCAAACAAGGCAACAACGCTCATCCGAGCAACCCTTTGACGTACTTTAGGATATCCTTGCCCTGCGAGACAATAATCAGTGCCTGAATTGGGGCTAACATCTAGTGAGAAGACTTACCCCGCGAGTCTTCACGTCAGCGACCATTGCCTCCACGCTGTCGACGATCATATCAGATTCATCCTGTACGTGCCCCTCAGCCTCCTCGGTACTCGCGCCATTTTCATTCCCAGTCACGCCCAACTGCCTTGTTGACTTGCGCCTGCGCCTCTCCGCCAGTCCGTACCGTGAAATAACCTGTAGCACCGCCCTCCACCCTTCGACGGCACCACTACTCTGGCTTTGCGACATTGAGCCGAAATTCATGATCAAGTTCTGGGGTTGCGATGAAAGCGAAGGGACAACCGTTGACTTCACGACGTAGGGGCAATAGTTCCGGTGTTCCAGGAGCAAGTCGAACTGCCTCTGTGGTCTCGTGTGCCGAGGCACCGAGCTAGCGGAAGGCGTTGACGCGCCAGGACTCGCTGCACCATCACTCGGAGGAGCAAAGGCCCATAACCCCACGCGCCTTTGGCACATTGGACAATACAGGACTGTCGCCTCGCGTTTGCTCCCAACAGACGCGCTCCTCGTCGAACTAGGAGCACCCTGCAAGTGAGAACCAAGTCTTTTCGGCAGCGATATGGAGGGTGTCTGGGCGCGCTCATTTCGCCAGAGAACGCTGATGGAGGGCGGATGACAGGGCGATGGTGTTCCAGGCCTTGAGGGAGCTATTGAGCTTGAACGCGAACATGAATATGAAGAGGTGCGCCGAGTCGGTGTAGGCGGCGGCGGCGCTATGTCCCAGCCGAAGAGGGATGCCAAGACAGCGGTCTCGGACGGCTCAGGCTCAGGCTCTGCTGGGTGCTCTGGGGATCGTTGCTCGGTGGATCCATCTTTTTCTAGGTCGAGATCCCATGATGGCGGTTTGGCAGAGACGGAGCGGATCGTAGAGACAAGTGCTTGCACCTGCGTGGATGTCTAGGGACATCATGCTCAGATAAATGCATCATGAACGTGTGAAGCCGGCGTACCACGGGATGCTTGATCTGCACACCTTGGAGAAGTGGGTCTAACTGGATTGCACGAGCTTTGAGGTCCCTGGCCATAGCAGCGGGAGATCTCAAAGGTATTCGATATACCCCATCTGTAACGCGACACATAAGAAGGGTACTAGTAGTGACATCGAGTAACATACCGTCGCTTTGTCGTGTCTTCCATGGACATCCGTCTTTATGGTTCTGAACAAGACCAATACGTTGCTTCTCCACGAGCGCATTCGCTAGAAAAACGCAGTTGATTTACCAGACCTACCGTACGCGTCCCATATGCTACGCACCCGCATCTCTCGAAAGCCCTTCACGGCCTGCCAGGACCCATGACGCGTTGCACAATCCACACACCAGTCTTTCCTTCCCGTCGTTTATCCAACCACACTTTGCTGCGGCCACGGCGTCGATGGCGCTGGGCTTGTTGGAGTATGTTGGTAGCTTGTAGGTTCCGAGGCGTAGCATGAAAGACTGCGTAGACGAGGGACGGTAGTCGCCAAAGGATGGGGACGCGCTGAGTGATGCATCGTCAGAGGAGAACCTGAAAGGCAGGGCCTTGCGAGTTCGGGTGGCGGCTCGAGAGAGTATAGCACTCAGGTGAGGGGCTTTCGACAATGATTCTGTTCGTTTGATGGATGAAGAGCTGCATGACACATATGACAAGGGATAAGGTGATGAGTTCCACGGCTGATGAGACCAAGACGCGTCGCAACTGACGGGGCGTCGGTTTTGGTTCTTATTCCATACTTTGCGAGGGTCGAGTATATAGATCGTGCTACGCGAGGTCGTTTTGCAGGTGGTGGTTGAGCGCTCGAGTCAGAGATAGACCCAACGGCTTCATCCAAGCTCTGCAAGGCATCCGCAAGTTTGCGCTGGAGGACTATGAGTCGACAAGACTTATATGACACCACGAGAGGGTCCCACCTTTATATCATTTGGATTGCGAGACGTCGACGCATCCGTTGGAGCAAGTGCGCTGCCGGGGTTTGCATTGTCGGTCGAGGACGCCATTTCATAACGGATGTGGCACAAAGCCACAACCGCGAGCTTCGCATGCACAAGGCCGGCGCTCTGAATCGGCAACCCCCGTGCCTTGGCCGTGCCACACGCAAAGCCAATCCTGCGCTGAGAGACTAGAGTCCGCTATATAGTATATTCCTCCAGTTCTATGTCTAGCATGTCTACAGAGCGCACATGACATTATTTACGAGGTCTCATTTCCTCCGTCCACCTTCCTACGTCGTTCTAACATCCGCAATACACCGCGCCTCCTCGCTCTAGCACGCATCTCGACCTCCTCATACCAACGCTTCTCCACATCCTTCAATATCCCAACGACTATCCTCGCAGAACGCTGGTCCCCGCGCACATGAAACGCTTTGATGAACATCTTGTACAACGGACGCACATGCCGTCTGAAAGAAATGCGCGACGTAACCTTAGGCAGCAAGTGTCCCGGGCGGAACAGAGATCGCTCCGTACCAAACACTGTGCCTGCACGCAAAACGTGTGTACCAGCCGGGTAACCGCTCGCCAGCAGCGTATCGAAGAGGGCTTGAACATGCTGACTGCTGATGGCTCTCTTCCATCCCAGAATGGCTTTCACCAAGATATTGACCGTGACGCGGTCAGGGATAAACCCATACTCTCGTACCAGCCTGGTCAAGGACGCAAGGACTTGCTGAACCTGTCGCGCGTTGCGACAGTTCCGACGAAAAAGTTCTCCATGAAGCAACATGTTTCCTAATGCCATGTATTGTCCGGAGGTTTCGCGTTGCTGAAGACCCTGGAACCACTTCCACGCCGCTTTCCTCCGCCCTGCGTAGATAAGAAGATCCAACAGTTGCCTAGCCTCGGAAAAGCTGATGGTCTTCTTTTCTGTCAACGCCTCAACCAGTTTGAGGCTGGTAACTCTGCTCGAACGCCGCTCTAGCCTACCCGACTGTACCAGGGAAACGAAGCGTGGTGCTCTGTTCGATGTACTGTTGGAAGTCTTGCGGACCTGCAAGGCTAAATTGGTGGCTCCGCCACGCCATAGGCCTAGCAGCAAGGTAGCGCGGAGAGTGAGCCCAACTGTCGTGTTCTTATCATACAACGATCGGTACAATCGGGTAGCGAGGCGGAATTGACGGTGTTGAAGCAATGTACGCAGAAATTGCGTTAAGAAGCGACTGCCGAAATAAGATGGCGCAGCGCCCCGAATACCTTGAAAGGTCCGATAAGCGTCCAGAGATCGACCGTTCCTAGCGAGCAGTAGCAGCGCAAATGCGACGTGGCTACTGCGACTGGGAGGATCAGACATGTATAGTCGGGAGCAAGCGGTACCAAGCGAAAGCGCCGCGCCCTTGGGGATGCGACGAAGCTGTCTAGACGAGAGCCCCGAGAGGACAGCATCTAGAATCGCGCGAGCCTGCGCTAGAGAAAGGGTGGGTTGGCTCAGCAAGCCCAAGGCCAGTTCGAAAAATCCCTGGGAGGCAAGGACTTTGCCCAGGATCAGTGTCGCGTCAGGTTCCAACTGCAACCCAGCACGAGCGCTATGGAAATACAACGAATACGATTCGGAAAGGTCAATTTGTGCGAGCCGCACGAGGGCCTTGCTGGCAATCTTTGATAGTGCGCTGCCCTCGATGCGGAGCTTTCGCAAATTGGCTAATGCGATATCCCATGTCTTCGCACCGCATCGAGCCATGGCAGTACTATACTCGATTAAGACGGCATCCACGGTACAAGGGAGGGATACATCTCCTGAGCCGTCTGGCGCGCGGAAGACCTCACTGACGTAGAAGCGAAAAACCCCTTCCGTCAGATATGGATCCTTGACAACACCGGACAGCTGCATGAAACTGGCCAATATCGCATGAATGACTGAGCTGGGTATGTCATCCCCCAGTCTAGTCCGTCCGGACCAGTGATACCAAAGTGTCTGCAGTATATCTTTGGCGTCATTGTCGACGTCCTCGCCTAATGAGTAGGCTCTTTCCATGGTGCGTAGCGCGCATATAACCTCCCAATGCGTCGCTTGCGATCCGTCTTGGGTGTTTCCTAGTGCCGGTGGGGCATGGCTGAACGATTTCAGCAGCTCTGGAGAAGCGTCAACGAACACGAGGAGCATTAGGTTTCTCCAAGCGCTCGCGAGTGACTGAGCGGTCGGACCAGGACTCAGACGAGCGATAGCTTCCGCCTTGCACCATTGCAGGAGTTTCTGGTTGGAAGACGAGAACCTCGATGAGTCCGCTGGCGGACGGCTTGGAAAAATCAGGCCCAGAATAGCCGAGAGCAGATGTAATATTGTGACATCAGTGCTTGAACTGTTCTCGGACAGTCCGCCGTTGCAGAACGCGTTGAACATGACCTTGGAAGGACGGCGTGACCAGTTAGAGATAACGGATAATATCTGTCTCTTCGACCTAGGGGACAGCTCCGAACCTCGACTGAGAATAATCCTTTGAATGAGATCGCGGTGAACTCCGGAAACCCACTCCAGCCTTCGCAGAGACTTAGCGAAACTAAACGCAAAGTTGTCGAAGGAACTTGAATCCCCGTACTTGAGCAGTGCATCAAGATAAGCTGCATGGGCATCCGGCGATCGAGAATGGCGAGCCAAGTGATGGTAGTGCACTCGAGCACGGGACAGAAGACGGATTCGACGATTCACTGAACGAGAATGGATAATTAACAATTGACAACCAAGAGCAATCTGAACGGGTTCTCACGTTCATCCGCGTCGTCTTCCACGGTTTTAACTTTGTGCAACTCAGCTAAAGACGCGCGCATTACCCAGTAACGATCAGAGTCACTTAAACTTCTGCCGAGATCCTCCTTGTCCTGGACTAGGGATGTAACGAACGACCAATGATGATGGGGATCGCCACCCTTCATCGTCGGGGCAAGAGGATGCATGAAACTACCAGCAGGAGAAGAGCCCGGGGCAGTAAGGATTGCCATAGAACCAAAGAGGCTGATTAAGCAGGACATGTCCTTCGAGCTCAAGGCTCCCAGTTGCGAACGAGACTTCACGTATGTGTACAGTGACTGGACCGAACTAGCGGATTGCGAGGGGGATACGGACGGCGATGTCTGAGACAGGAAAGATCGTAAAATTTGCACGGAAGAACGCGTCGTCACCGCTGCCTCTGGCTGGCGGACACGGGCTGCCTCATGTTTACCAGATGGGGATGAGGGACTACGAGTAGCAAAAGCTGCAACTGTGTTGTCGCTCGCAGTCGAATCACATCTGCTGGCCGATGAGACCGCGGTCATTGGCTCGAGAGATTGGGTCATCGAAGGAGTCCCTTCAGCAGGGGGGAAGTTCCACAATTCCATGTCGCTGCTGGGTAACGCCGCCACTGCCTCAAACAGTTGAAGCCTACTCCCGGCTTGAGCAACAGACAAACGCGGAGCAGGCTGGGCAAACTTCAATGAAAGGCATGAGGCGCGACGGCTAGTTACGGAAGCCACGCATAGATCAGTATTTAGCACTATTGAACAACAAAGTTTCCACTTGCCATGTAATCCATTGAATGCCGTCGCGCCCGCCGACTACCGTTCCGACAGTCGACAAACGGCATCGCAACATTCCATTGCATCAGGGAGGTCTTAAATCCCGGGGCTCAAGCTGAGCGCACAAGCCTCGCACCGCGAGCCCTTCAAGCTGCAGCAGCAGTCGGCGACAAGAATGCAGTTGCAGACGATGGCCCAAACGGCCTCAACACGTCGGAGTCGACGCGCTTGAACTCGGTGGCGTGAAATTTGACCATATTTGCTTGTTGCGGCATGACCGGCATGACCGGCATTTCCCGGTAAACTCTAAAGTATCTAACTGTACACAAGCTCGCGACACCGTCCGGCTTGTACTCAACGACGCCGCCAACAGACCAGTCGCCTTGAAAAATCCGTTGACACGTCAGGTACGCGTATTTGCATGTTAAAGTCTGTATGTCGTCTTACGGACGTTCTGCAGAGGTCAACCGGGAGGCACTAGTATTATCACGAAAAACACTACCCTTGTACGTTGTATGAGTTATGCTGTCCCCGCCGGACGAAGCTGACATATGTTCAGTAACCAAAAGTCACCATGGGAGCAACTCGGGCTGCAAAGGAAGTTTACTTCCAAAAGCTGAAGGACCTCATCTCCAAGTACCGTATGTGTCCCATCGCACCACACCGCCTTGCACGGTCTGAATGCGTCCTTAGCCTCCATCTTCTTGGTCAATGTCGACAACGTCGGTTCCAACCAGATGCACCAGATCCGAGTTGCACTCCGTGGCAAGGGTGTCGTCTTGATGGGCAAGAACACCATGGTTCGCCGTGCCATCCGTTCCATCATCACCGAGTTCCCCCAGCTTGAGCGTCTCGTGCCTCACGTCAAGGGGAACATCGGCTTCGTCTTCACCTCCGCTGATCTTAAGGAGATCCGTGACCTCATCACCGCCAACAAGGTTGCCGCCCCCGCTCGTGCCGGTGCTCTCGCGCCCAAGGATGTCTTCGTTGCTGCTGGTAACACTGGCATGGAACCTGGCAAGACTTCTTTCTTCCAGGCTCTTGGTATTCCCACCAAGATTGCCCGTGGTACCATCGAAATTGTCTCTGAGATCAAGGTCGTCACTGCCGGGACCCGTGTCGGTCCTTCCGAGGCTGCCCTGCTGAATATGTTGAACATCTCCCCCTTCACGTACGGTATGACAGTCGTCCAGATCTTCGACTCTGGCAACATCTTCTCTCCGGACGTTCTCGATGTCAGCGATGAGGAGCTCTTGGGTCGCTTCCTGACGGGTATCAAGACCATCGCCGCCCTGTCTTTGGCTCTCCACTACCCTACTCTTGCATCAGTTACCCACTCTTTGGTTAACTCCTACAAGAACCTGATTGCCATTGCTCTGGCTACTGACTACACTTTCGAGGGTGCCGAAAAGGTGAGCTGTCGTGCATCATGCCTGAGCAGATTCAAGGTCCAAATGATTATCTATACACTGAAAATCCTGAGTGTCTTACGGACACGTGCTGAATACAAAACTACTCGAGATTTCTGGATGATGGACCTACTGCTGTACCTGATGATGTCGATACTAATTCATTGGAATAGGCTAAGGAGTACTTGGCGAATCCTGAGGCATTCGCTGTTGCCGCTGCACCTGTCGCAGAGTCTGCTGCTGCCGCCGAGGTACCCAAAGCTGAGGAGAAGGAGGAGGAGAAGGAGGAGTCTGATGAGGACATGGTACGATGTTTTGATTCTCTGGGCCATTCCTCTGCTAACCCGAATCTAGGGCTTCGGTCTGTTCGATTAAGTATTGCCATGACCTGTTATCATACCACTGCTACTGCGTGTATCTATATCTCCCCATCTCATGCAAACGCAATATCACTGTTGTTTGTCGCGATACTTAAGACTCCTTGTCTGCCATATGCTGAGTCAGTGGGCTGACCCCAGTCATTGGGGAAATGCGCAGGTCAGCTAGCGTTGCACGGGTGCAGTGCCGGCATTCGACCACAGGCTCGGCAAGCCGATGTCCTCATCGCTGTGAAACGGGATCAATTCAAGGGCGTCCTATTGGACCATCCGGCGTTGGCACGTTCTACCCGTGAGTGACACATCTTATCATTAGCATACCAGGTCTTTCCAAATTCGAAATCAATTTGATTATGCGTCAGAGATTGGTGCGGTTCTGTATGCTCCATTGAACATATAAATAAGCTTGTCCGTAGAACACAAGTCAATTGGCAAGACCAATTCTTACGATATGGCACCGTCGGATCAGGTCTTGTTGGAAACGGTCCAAGAGGCATACAGCGCAAAAGCTAGAGAAGGAGTTGATAGCAAATGTGAGGCGAGACTCTTCGATTTGCGTTGATTGTTCTCTGAACCACTGATCTTGCAGACGCCAACACCGTTGCAGCTGCATTCGGCTATAGTGCCGACGAACTGCGCTCTATCCCAGCTGAAGCCAATCTAGGCTTGAGTTGCGGCAACCCCGTGGCGGCAGCGACTATTAAAGAGGTAGGCTTCACCTGAGGTGCCTGGCGCCGCTGACCGGGTAGCTGGCCAGGGAGAATCTGTGATAGACTTGGGCTCCGGAGGTGGAATTGATGTCTTCCTGGCGGCGTCAAAAGTAGGACCCAAGGGTCAGGTCATCGGCCTTGACATGTCGGCGGTAAGAATCGCAACCGTTCAGCTTCGCCTGCCCTTATTGTCCCGACTCACCATATGAATCTTCCTGCCTGCAGGACATGATATCGCTTGCTCGTCGCAATGCTGCCAAGCAAGGCCTTCAGCCGCCGCAGGTCTCCTTCGTTCAGGCATCACTTACTGAAGCACTGCCAATCATCTCCGACTCCATCGATTGCATTCTATCCAATTGCGTCATCAACTTATTACCAAACTCTGGTAAGGTCGCGTTGATGAAGGAGGCAGCACGAGTCTTGAAGCCCGGTGGCAGAATCGTGTTTCACGACGTGCGTAGCTGCAGACTGTTGCCAATATTGCCTCGAGAGAATAAGAATCTCCTTGGCGGCTTCTCTAGATTATTGCCAAACGCCCTCTACCCCAGGACATCGTGAATGATCTGTCAGCGCACGTAGGTTGTATCGCAGGCGCAATTACCCTGGGTGAATACGCAGAAATGCTCAACGAAGCCGGTCTGCAAAGTGCGCAGTTTCTTGAACCTCCCCCCTTGCGCCGAATGACTCATCTCAGGACATAGATGCACTGTTCGTGGATAGCAAGGCCGATATCAACATCTACACCCAGATGGAGAGCGATACGGCTGGTTGCACGACGGCTGGTTGTTGTGCTAAACCCGTCTCTGCCTCCGGAAGACCCAAGTTTGACGCGAATGCATGGGTCGGTAAGCACGCCCTCTTCCCCTCGGAAAGACCTTCTCCTACGTCCTTTTGGTAGCCTCGTACCAGATATATGCCCTAAAACCTAGAGGGCAAGCGGAGCCCACCGCAAAGGATAGTCCGACGACTGCCCTGCAACGGTGGTGGGATGCATTTCCTCCTCCGCGGTCAGATGTTCCTGAGATATCGGCTGAGGAGTTGGCGAGTTTGATGCGGCAGGGTGAAAAGAGGGAGTTCTCTGTCATCGATGTCCGCCGAGATGATTACCAGGTTAGTCGTGGATAGGGACGTGGCGTATCCCATTACTCACCGTGCATTCACCCCTTCAGGGCGGTCACATACGGGGAAGTCATCAGTGGCCTGCCCAAACATTTTGGAATGAGCTGCCCAAATTCGTCGACACGTTTGGACGCACTCCGAGGGTGATATTTTACTGTGGTAGCTCAAACGGCCGAGGACCCCGTTGCGCGAAATGGTGAGTGGAATCAAAACAAGCAGTAATAAGCGAAGTCACAGCCGTGGGCCCAGGTACCAAGACCGTCTGAATGAAGCAGGCATACAGACCTCCAGTGCTTGGCTACTGAAGGGTGGTCTGAAAGCGTGGATGGAATTGTATGGGGACTCGAAAGAACTGACGGCCGCCAAGAGCGATGTTTAATTGTGGGATCAGCGACCGTAGATCTGTCATTGTTGGGGGCATATTTGTATGAATACGGATTCGTAGAGCAGGTTAACCAAATCCGGGGGAACGACGCCAGCTTGCGGTTTCCATCAAGCTAGATCATATTATGCCGACAATGGCTCTAATGCAAGGCAACCTTCAACTAAAAAGCCAGAGTGAGGAATGAAATCCCGGCGAGCTTCCTCGAATGCCTTCGGAATATGCGTATGTGATGGTTACTCCGCTGGTCTGCACCCATTGCGTCTATGAATCCCTTGATATTACGTCGTTATTAACGTACGTCGGATCCGTGTCGAAGATTACTGCGATGCTGGCAGGTCACATATCAGCGTAATCATGCGCAGCCACACTTGACTCGATGTGAGATATAATGGACAGCAGGGCACTTACTGAGCATCCGTGCGCAGGCTGGTCGCACGAGTTCAGCTACGGTAACCCTAGAATGCCGCATACTAACGATAATGGGCCTGCAGGCTTAAGTGGGGTCTCGAGTGCTGACCAGATCTCAGACTTTGAGCAGCAACTTGAAGTCGATGCCGCAGTGACCAATGACATTTTGAATTTTCGTGCGACTATATAGTCCCTCTAGCTTTGGGTCAACCATCGTGTATCGTACATTAAGAGACGCCATGAGCTTCCGATGTGCGCGTTTCTGCTATCAGTTCACGAGCCAGATATCGATGATGTCCGCGCCTAAGGAAGCACCCGTTTGTGACGCGTGACAGGTTTCATCGTAGTCTGCCAGCTAATTGATGGCTACGAAGACCGAGTCACGATATTGCCTTCGTACTCCAGCTATGCGAAGAGTAGAGTGCCTCTTCAGCACGCCCCCGTGATGTTTACCCCGGCGTTAGGCGTAGATAATTGCCGATTCTTTACTATCGGAGGCTTTCCACCAGTAGGCCCCTACCGCATAGCCCGCGCACTCGTCACAGTCACGGCACGCGTATCAAGTGAGGCATCGGCAGGGGGTATAACTTGAAGTACACCTCTACTATCGACCGTTATACCATTGAGAAGCTCAGATTATGCCTTAACTTCAAGGGCGTTTCATTAACAGCCCGAGCTGAGCCAACCGACCATAACATACAGAGCTAGCGCTGTATTACTGAGTAGAGGACGGCTGCTTATGAACGCGAGGGCCTCTTTACGCCCCCTCAAAGTGTTGCATAAACCAAAATTCCCCGATTACCTAAAGGAGATACTAGTAAATCTACGGATCCTACGTGAATATGGAACAAAGGACAAGATGGTGAGACAATCATCACTGTAACGAACATAGCGCGTAGAGTGTAACAGGTGCTAAGGCAGATACTATGGAAACATCGCAGAGTGGAGTCATATCATACACTGAATAATACAAAATCCTGCTACATGGATGAATCAGTTAGACTGACTACGTCCGTTCCATCAGAATTCAAGACTCACTTAGACGTTAGGTGCTATTGAGGATGATCCGGAGGGTTAGGACGATGGAGGTGAGGGACAATATACATCGTGCCACCGCGGTCAGAGTACGCGTGAACGAGCGAGGGGTCTGGAACGGCTTGATACCCCGGAGGGCGCGGTACGCTAATGGGCACTTCGGGACGAAGCGACGGATGCTGCCAGGCGGGCCAAGAAGGGTTCTCTTGCGAAGTCGACAAGGGCTCGTATCCAGGATAAAACTGTCCGACAGACCCCATATTCGTGAAGTGCGCGTGACGTAGATGATCCCCCAACATATCTCCCATGCTCGGGGCGGAACCAGAACCATGGGAACCCCCTGCGTCGTAAGGAGTCTGTACGAGATATTCCTCCGGAGTTAGTTTCTGCCGATCTGTTGGACCAGTCGAAGGACCGGTGGACTCGTCGAAATTAAGCTTAACACCGTGGAGCAGTTGCCATGCTTGCTGGGCACTGGGCCATGCAGACTACATCGCATGTTGAGCTGAGCTTACGACAAAGCAGGAATGATGACTTACTTTCATCTCATCCAGCGCCGATAGGCACTGAGACCATCCTAGGTAGGCTTGACCATTTGATTTGCGCAACATCACTGTGCGAGGGTGAGTCACAAACAGATCGGTAGAGACTGAGAGGTCCTCTGACAAGTCACAGCATGCATAATCCTGCCAAGTCGACATAAACCAATGTAAGCATGGACCAAGTGAGATCACGGGGAAGCACGCACCCTGCGCTCTGAATGTGAGGTATTAGGATGGGCGACGCGCACTTCAGGCCGAACTTCTCGCGATAATCATTCACTGCAGCCCCAACCCTCAGAGAGGAACTCGAGGCTGAGACAATCACTCATACCTAGAGTACTAATGTGGTTGGCGGATACTTGACAAACATCCATGCATTGCATCGACAGACTTGATCTGCGGGTAGAGTCAGATGCGAAGAGACTGCAATTTCGACACCTGTATTGAACGATTCTTGTAACCAGGACCTAGATCTACTTACCGTTCAACCTTGCGGGGAAGACTGGGGCGCAGAGGAATTGTCAGCGAGGTCCTTACGGATTCTGCCACAGCTTACAATGCACGGTTCAGAAGTAAAACAGCGGACCAATATTGGACATGCAGGACGAGTACGTGTGGGGGAACCAAATGCGTCTTGTCATACCTGAGGCGTTCTGGCAAGTCGATGTACCATTGATGCAGGTTCGATTGCAGCTGAGTCAAGTGGGACCGTCGTAAAGTACTCGTGGATGAACGAACGGGGTAGATCTTGGCCAGGATGTCACTGACAATCATCGCTAGCACGGGCAGAAGCGTGAGGGATGACGACAGAAGTCTAAGATAAACTACTATAAGGACTTACATAGGGATGCCTCGTAACGGAAGCAGCTTGAGATATTGCTATGAATGGGTTGGTGTTGAGTACCATCATTCCCCAGAGCTTGCCAGATATCTTCATCTTCGTCCTACACGATGATAGATGAGGGGTACGTAGCGACTCAGGGTGGATGTATACGGACCTCGTTAATTTCAGGGAGCTCAACGTTCGAGTCCTGACGACCAATAGACATTGGCCGGCCTGGTGTGTTATATCAGCGAACCTTTAGTAGTGAACGACTCTTCGACGCCTACCCATGAAAGAACATATGTGCCTATTAAATTATTGAAGTCAATGTAGCTGCGCAATTTGTTCCGTATGAGTGACTCACGATTCAGCGATACAACATGCCCACCAAATCCTCTTTCTTATCTGGTTCTCGAGGGGAGAGAACATTTCGGAACCGTTGAGTCGCCAATTATCGCCCGCGCAATTTAGACCCAGATCCTCGGCCTGCAGAATTCAGAACCAGCATGGCACGGCTGAAACCATTTACACTCACCATTCGCACGGCCATCCCTAATGATGATAGCTATGAGGTAAGAGTCCTCTGCTTGCAGACAGACCAGGGACGTACCTATATATAACCAGGCATGTTCGGTGGATCCTATCACTCCATCTCAGTCTTGCCACATGTTTGAACTGCAGGAATTCATACCTATACCGATTTCGTGCATGCCCAAGAGCAGCAGTGCTTTGCAAGTTGTAAGCCGACTGACTTCGAAAACTTCTTCTATAAACGCAAGTCAGCGGGATCACTGACAGTAAATAGGCAGCGCACTGAGATCATTCAATGCTTCCTTCAGAAAGTCGCACATATTCGACTTTTCCTCTTCCCTCCTGATCCTCTCGGAGACAGCAAAGATGACGAGCAGCAATAACTTCGATATACGTGTATGATCTCCGAGGGAGCTGCGGCACAAAACTGTGAGTAGTAATCTGACGCATGAAGTGTATACATACGCTTTACTTCTCGCAGAGATGGCAATGAGATTTATGTCACTAGGCGGCTTGTAAAAATAACGGACATACCTCGCTTCGTACTCGTTTAGAAATGTTGCCTTATGAATGACAGGGAATGCGGGATGTATGTAGGTGAAATACAAGCTCAAGAGTCTTTGCTGTATCTCCGGGTCTGGCGTCCCCACGTCGAGCGCTTCTTCCATGGTCAGGGGAGCATAGCTTGCGTTCCACAGACGTACTAAAGGGAAATTCCTGAAGCCATACTGAGCACCACAACCTGCTTAAGGAGTACTGATCCTTACCATATGCCGCCTTCCCGCCCGTCGTCGGACCTTTCGTTCCTCCCCAACAGGTGAAGCCCGCTTGCCTTCCCGTGATAACGTATCTGTCGCCGTTGATCGTCAGCAAATCCTGCGAGGCTGATGCAGCCTCTTCTGGAAGACCAATTACTCACCTCTTGCCTTTCGTCGAGGGACAACTGGCCGAATGCTTCAGTACCCTCATCAGAGTCACTTGTGGCGGGCGTTTCATTCGTTGCTAGAGACAACTGATCAATTGCAAGACATGGTGCTTTGAACGTATACTCATACTGGACCCTGAATCCATCGTGTACATCCGGCTGAAATCTGGGCGGCCCTCGGGTCCATAGAAGCTGTCATCGAGCCGTCGCTTCTGCGCCGGAGGTCCACCCGACACCGGGCGGTTCTGAGGGTTATCATGCTGAGGCGCGATGGATGTGGACGCTCGTGGTTCATCGGCTGAGTACTTCGGTCGATTCGATGAGCCAAGGAGGTTAGCAAGGCGATCACGCCACTGCGATACTTCGTCCGGAGTCATTGCGCTTTCTGCATGGTGCTGTCAAAGAGAAGAAGGAAGTGGAAATGGGACGAGAATAACCTTGTACGAATGACACAAACTCCCGAGATACCCGTGATTGCCTGTTCGCTCGTGCTGGGCCATGGGGCTGCGGAACAGCTTGCTCGCCGTAGAATAAATCCTCCATAGTAGGGAAGGACGACTTGAGCGCTCTCCCTGTTGATCCCTGTAGGTGGCATACATATGATCACTTGAAAATCATATGGAAGTAGAAGAATATCCTACAAAAGGACCGATGTCGACTTTGTTGAGTACTTCATGGGCCAGTTCGTCTTGCCGAAGGGTTGATACAACACTCTGCGCCCGAGGGTCGGGAGATGCAAGGACAGCACCAAGGATGGATTCCGCGAGATACCATCGTTGTTCAAGGGCATGGATGTAGCCTTTAGGCGGCCCTCTTTTGTGTGTAGGTCCTAGATAGGTCCTATGAGCAGGGAATAGTGTCCATGGGGGCGTGTGGATCTACCTAGAAAAGTACAAGCTAGATATTGATAATTCGTCAGCCCATTGTCATCGGCTTGCGTAGCAAAGAAATTACCGATGCCAGCGGCGGCGCAGCTCTTGCAAGGGGCGCCGTCTTCTGGGCGCTCGCATTTGTTCTTAGTCTTCCGACAGTGGTCGCAAGCTTCCTAATCTTCAATAACACGCTCCATAATTCCTTAGAAAATGCCCAGCGTACCTCTGCTACTCCGTTTCTTCACGGCGGCGTCCATCGACACCTCCGCGATGAGTTCCGCTTCAGATTCACCAGGCGTCTGAGATTGCGAAGCAGAAGACATAGAGTGGATAGCGACCGAAGCGCAAGTTTACTACGAAGTTATCGGAACGCGGTGAGAGGACACGTTTCACGTGATGCGAGCGAGCGGGATAACCTTGTACAACGTTGCCCTAGATTACGAAACGCTTTCGGTGCGATCTATTGGACAAAGTATCGACACGTAGATGTCGAAGACCAATCTACGGAGCAGGATCAGAACTACAGATATATCCCGCAAGCGGATGAGGTTAGAAGTTAGATCGGTGAGCCACGGGGATCAGACTAACTAATCTCACACCTCGAATATCGGGGCTATAAATTTGGTTGAAAGACGAGCTGCATACCTACTGTAGGCCTGAGGCTGAAACGTTTTACAACCTACAATTCCAGGCGTTATGTAGCGGTCGATTCAATGGCTCAGATCAGGCAGTGTAGTCTGGACAACTTACGATCTCCGATCACGTGGGAGAGGCAGCGGAATAAGAGTCACCCCCGTCTAACACCAAATATGGTAGTGAGGAAGGAACGACTGCAGGAACCAGCGTCGGGGGAAACCTCAGTACTGGCGGCACTCAACTTCCCGGCACAGACAAGTCCTACTCTCTTTGCTCGAATCTACACGGATGGGCAATCATGACGACGCGGACAAACGACGACGACGGGGCTTACATCTGCATATATGAGCAAGGCTCGCGCTACAACAGGATTGACGAGAGCATGATAACGTCCTCACGCGGGCTGCCGTCTGTCTGCCGCAATACTGCAGCCGTCAAAGGGGGATCTGAGAATCTCCACCCATCGTCTATCGGCCAGAGTGCAATTCGAGATTTTCGGAACCGCAGACATCGAGATTACCCGGAAGCAAGTCGTCGTTGGTCTGACTCAGGCTGTACATCGCGTCGGGGTTGTCCCAGGTCCCTAGCGGCTTTCTTAAAGACCGACCATCTCAGGTGCCAGGTTCTCTTCCACATAAAGTCAAGCGGAAAGGGAGATCGTGGTTCCCAGGTCGAACAAGTTCCATGTCATGCAATGGAGTTCGAGAACATACACGACCAGTACTCTGGCGAAGCGCGGGACAAAGGATGCACTATGTTGTGACGATAAGGTACACGGTATCCTGACTCATACAGGGGATCTTTGAAGACCCACCGCATTAACTGAGCCGCAGCCTTCCAATAGTTCATCCCCCGTTTCCAAATTTCCAACGAGTGATCCTACTCCCGGCACGCTCCCATCCGTAACTGGTTGGGCCAGTAGAAGGGGGTCGACTTGAGGAGCCCCGCTCCAGCAGGGAGCCCAAGTACCAGGTGAGAGTACCCCCGCTATGAATCTGGTGACCAATGCCCAAGTTTCTGTAGAACGTCCCCGTGGCTGGTATCTTGAATCCGAAGGTACGCGCAAGCAGTTGAGCAACGTAGCCGCAGATTTCGAAGGAATGAGCCTTGTTGAAGGGCGTATAGCAATCCCAAGCGCTGTTCGCAAGATCGGGGAAGATACTTGTGGGTCCCGCGGCCTTGGTTAGGCCCGAGACTACTCCAGTGCTTGTCAAGAGAGGCTTCTCGCTGAGTCAGGCATCCAGGACGAGCGAAGCTGCACCGTTGGGTACGTGTTCGGGATTGCAAGAACCAGGGAAGATTTCGTCGAACCGCACTCCGTAAATAGGGGGACAGGGGGGATTTACTCGAGGGTGCCGGCGGTTACTGGAAGATACTAGAACCATTGTGATCAGTCGTCCCCACATCCATGGTTATTAAGGTTCAGTGTTCTCGGTCCATCTTTGTTTCGATATCGCTGTATGACATCACAAACCGGTACTCGCTGCACGTACAATACGTTTGAATATTTGCTTGTACAGTAACTGCAGTTGGAGCGAATACGGCGGCGCGCCGGTTTAGCCCTCTTTCTCGGAAATCCACGGAGGTGTGCTATTAACGTACCTTACGTAACCAAGTGCGAGAAGACGTTCAGCCACATTTGCCACAGCCGCGGGCAGTAACCCACTCCCGACCAGCAACCATGGGTTTATTGCTCTCGCTCCCGTTAACTGGGGTCCTTGGTTCAGTGGCGACATCATGCATAGCTGGGCTTGCATTCTGCTTTACTTCGACGGCAGGTGCGTCGTCAACACGCTTCCTGGGATGACAGCGGAAGCTGAAAGGAGAGCGCAGCGTCGATGTTCTGCAAGTCATGCAATTGTAACTCGTCGATTGCGACTCGTATTGGCTTCGCTGTATGTGCACTTGTATTTTTACTGCTGGCTTGTGTTGAGTCGCTCTCCGGAAAGATCATATTCTGTCTGAACTCCATGCTGGCGTGGTTAATGAAGACCCCTTTCGCCATCCACCTGATTGAGAAATGGAGTTACGACTATATCAAGATGGAATGTGAGAAAGACAGGTGCTACGGTGTTCTCGCAGTACGTAGACGTGCACTCCATTTCCGGCTTCCCATCGACCTGGTCATCTTCAGGTTCATAGGTTTTGCTTCGCACTCTCGCTATTCCATGGCATCCTATCTGTGGCTTTGGTGGGCGTGAAGGATACACGGGATAAGAGGGCAGCTATACAGAACGGGTGCGTACTCAGCATCACTGATAAACTCGCTGCTGACACCATATAGCTGGTGGGGTCCCAAAGTCCTACTCTGGCTCGTGCTCGTTGTGATCTCGTTCTTCATTCCCAATGGGTTCTTCATCGTCTGGGGCAACTATGTCTCTATGATAGGTGCTACGATCTTTATCCTGCTCGGTCTAGTCCTGCTTGTCGATTTCGCCCACTCGTGGTCCGAGACTTGCTTAGAAAACTGGGAGAACTCTGATTCAAGCCTCTGGCAATGGATCTTAATCGGGTCCAGTTTCGGGATGTACGCAGCTACCATCACCCTGACGGCGCTCCTCTTTACTTTCTTTGCCGGGCCGGGCTGCACTTTGAACAGATTCTTCATCGCGTTCAACCTGGCTCTCTCCATAATCATCACCATCTTGTCTATACATCCCATCATTCAAGAGCATAATCCACGTTCTGGGCTAGCGCAATCCAGCATGGTTGCTGCGTACTGCACTTACCTTATCATGTCCGCGGTTGGAAATCATCAGCACGAATCGTGCAATCCATTGCGCAAGGGAACTGCTGCAGGCGCACAAACGACGACGGTCGTTCTGGGTGCTATATTCACCTTCGTCGCGATCGCCTATTCTACCAGCCGTGCTGCTACACAGAGCCGAGCGCTCGTGGGTAAAAATAAGCGGGCGATACAGCTTCCGATCGACGGTGATCTGGAAGGGCACTCCGAACTGGGTGTTGTAAGCACTCAGCCTGGTCGGACGGAATCCCCAAGGTACCAGGCTTTGTTAGCTGCGGTCGAGGCTGGGTAGGTGGGTGTCATCGAAAATGTTAGACATTGCTGATAGGCTATAGTGCTATCCCTGCCTCCGCTTTGGATGAAGAGGAAGTGGAGGAGGAAGTGGAGGAAGTGGTTGGGGATACCAGGGATGATGAGCGCTCAGGTACCCGCTATAACGTACGTACCTTCCCTTCATCTTTGCATCTTTGAGGCCTGAACTGTGCCCCGCAGTACTCCTGGTTCCATATCATATTCGCGATTGGATCGATGTATGTGGCGATGCTTCTGACCGACTGGTACGCCTCACGAGTGGACATCGTAAATTGCGCGGGGTTCACTAATTGGTTTGGCTCCTTGATAGGAATGTCGTGAAGAACATCGGTCCGTCGAATCCCGATCAGGACGTGTACATTGGGCGGTCGGAAGTTGCCATGTGGATGAGAGTTGTTTCGAGTTGGGTCTGCATGCTGCTGTACATATGGAGTCTGGTGGCGCCCGTCTTAATGCCTGACCGGTGAGTCCTTTCCTCCGTTTCCGTGGGAATGACAGGCTCAATACCCACCAGGTTCGGAGATGTCTGAGGATGATGTGGACCTTTAGTGATCTATGTATAATAGTGTGGATATAGCCAGCTACATAAACTAGGTTGTACGGATTGAAATTTCGAGTCTATATCCGGAGAATGACACGGCAGATCTCTTCCTCGTGTCAGCAATGCATCCACAGGACCGGACAGCCATGAGCGATAGTACCCGCCCGTCTATCCCATCCCTCGTACGTACTTGATAGGGTATCGGCGAAGCTTGACACCCACCGCTACTGCGCTTAGTGCATTCCTGAGTCGGTGTATAGCTCTGCGCAGCTCAGGGATCATGATTTATCTGTAGACGACATGCTGTGGCATCTGAAACACCATTCACATAAGTCTTAGAAGCGTTAGGACTGCACAATCAAGACGCTATGGAATACCACGACTCGGATGCCCACGAAGGCGAATCGATGCCTAAGAAAGTGAAAAGAGCAAAACCTGCTCGGGCTTGCGATGCATGCAGACGCAGAAGAAGTATGTGGACAACTCCATTCGCTTTGATGTCATCATGATAACAACAAAGTGTAGTTCGTTGTAGGTGTCATTTTCCATGCTGCCTACGCTTTATCCAATTACCTGTCCGGTTTAAGGCGATGGCACTCAAGGTTCCGATGTGCCATGTTCGAATTGCGTGACCTTTCGAAGTGAATGTACCTATGACGAACCTCCCAAGGTGAGTGTCCCGCTATCCTCACGCCATGAAATTCATGGTGAATGTCCCAGTAGAAACATGGACCGCCAAAAGGGTCAGATACCGTATATGACAGTATAACACGCCGTATTAACAGACAATCATTGGCAGTTACACGAAGATTCTGGAAGACCGAGTTTCTCTACTCGAAAATATGCTCCGGAATGTCTGTATTCGCGTCAGTACTTTGGGGGACAAACCTGATAACGAAGTCTACGTCTAGGTAGGAGTCGACGTAGAGAAAGAATTAGGTGGACCCTTGGACAAAGAGAGTATTCGTCAAGGTGTCCTCCCAGAGCGCCCCCGCGCTTCCCGCACAGGTCTCTATGACAGCCCAACTCTGGCAACGGACAGCGATAGTGCTGCTGGATCCCCATCGCAAGCGAATGCGGTCGGCACTACAGATGCAAGCGAAGACGAGGACATACTGTATCCGGTGATTGACAAATTCGAAGAGCTCTCCTTGAATCCCATGCAAGAGCGTTTCCTGGGGAAGTCGAGTGGCTATGGACTTATCAAGGCAGCGCTCACTATGAAGGGTTACAATGAACAGGAGGTAGACGACCCGGCGAAGGGACCTGATCCCTGGAACCGTCCTCGATTCTGGACTATGCAGCCCGTGAGTTTGAGTATATCAGCCTGATAACTAAGCTTAGCCTCAGTCCTTAGTGGGAACTTGGGGTCGAGAAGCGACCTGACTATCAATTCCCAGAACCAGACCTAATGGCCGCCCTTCTCAAACTCCACTATGATAAGGTTCATAGTCTGTCTCCTGTGTTGCATTGGCCGACCTTCGAGCGCGGTGTCCGCGAAGGCCTCCATCTCAGAGACTATAGGTTCGGCGCCGTACTCATGATGGTCTGTGCCACGGCAGCCCGTTACTCGGATGATCCCCGGGTGATGCTCGAAGGTCATGACAGTCCCGCTTCAGCGGGCTGGAAGTGGTTTCATCAGGTCCAGGATGCTCGGAAGTCCATGCTCGCTCCGACAACATTGTATGACCTGCAGCTATATAGCGTAAGTATTCCTCCCATTGACATGATGCGACTATGTTCAGTCATCATTCTAGCTTTTAGGAACATTCCTTATCGGATCATCGGCTCCTCATGCGGCTTGGATTGCCATTGGGCATGGGATACGTATGGCGCAGGATGTCGGAGCTCACAGAAGAAAATTCTACGGTGACCGATACACAGTCAAATCTGAATTATGGAAAAGAGCGTTCTGGTAAGCAGGATGTGTCTTGAGTTTCTGCTGCCTGATCAAATGCTCGTCACTGGCAGGGCCTTGATACTTCACGACAGAGGTCTCAGTGCCGCCCTCGGACGACCGTATACGTTATCCCCGAAAGAGTGAGTCCATTACGCTCTATTGGCTCAGACTTGTGCTCACATTACGTTGAGGATCGACGTGGAGCTACCGGTTGAGTGCGACGACGAGTACTGGATAACTTCCAACCCGGATGACGCTTTCAAGCAGCCAGCTGGGAAACCTACCAGAATGACATTCTTTATTCACATGATCAAGATGAACGACGTGCTTGGCGATACATTACGCGTCTTTGTGAGCAAGTGTATGTATCCATCGGAGTCACATTGTCTGACGAAACCTTAGTACGAAGATCTACCTACGGCAAAACCGTCTACACCCGAACAAGATCAGCAGATGATAGCGGAGCTGGACTCTGCTCTTAACAATTGGTTTGATGGTATACCGCCCCACTGTAAGTCGTTGGACATGCTTTGGCTTGTAGGAGACTGAGCATAGTCCCAGTGAGATGGATGCCTCATGACGGCGATCCCGTCACGTTCAGACAATCGGCCATGCTCCATGTCGGATTCTACCGAAACCAAATACTTATACACCGTCCTTTGATATCGTCAGCACCGAAACCGTCTCTTCTGTCAGCGTCGTGTATGGCGATCTGCAGTAATGCAGCGCGTTGTCTCATTAACGTGGCGGACGTCATCAAGAAGCATGGTGATTTTATGCCAGCGTCATCATCATCAACGTTCACCGCCTGCGTAATCCTTGTGCTTCAAATTCTTGGACTCAAGCAATCCGGCACTCTCATGGACCCCGAGAAAGCGATGTCGGACGTACGCAAAGGCTTGGATGTCTTAGAGAGTATGGAGGATAGGTGAGCAATTGTATCACATGCATCTGTCCCATATGGACTAAGTCTGCTTCAAGGTGGGCTGTAGCTGGGGCATGCAGGTAATTATTCGCATTGCCCGAGGGCAGGCCCTTCACTCACAATATTACAGTGACATCGTGAGGGGGCTTGCGAACATGGGCAAGCTGCCTCTGCCACCTCAACGAGCGGCTTCCAAGCGCAGGAGGGACACTGGTTCATCAGTCATGCCAGGTGGACTTCCTCTTCCTACCACGGCGGAACATTTACCTCGCCCACCCGACGCCCGAGTTTCTCCCCATTTTTGTACGTCTAACCTTTCCAGATCACTTCCAAAAATTTCCCGACATTTTCTCAATCGCATATCCAGACGGAGATTCGGGCCTTAGGCAACCAGTCTACCATCATTCGGCTCCCAATCCGGGCCCAGACGATGCAGAGCCCCAAGTGGCAGGCCCGTCGCGATTATCGGCACCAGTCATTTCTGGCGTACCATCCAGCAATATCTCATGGTCAGGTCCTGATTTTCCTGTCGAAGTGGGGCCCGGCTTAGATATCGATTTGCCTGCTTCCGGTATCCCGGGCCTTGCTTCAACAGACGAGAACTCTATATCAGCATATCTCCCGTCGCGCCTCTCTGCGACTTCCTCCTCCGATCAGATGAATGAACACTCCGTGCTAGACCATTTCATGTCCAGCATGGCCGATCCTAACCTCAACGCCGATTTCTACCCCACAGGTTGGCCTCAGACAACCTCTATGGACGTGTCGTGGAATAGACCGCCTACAGATACGGCTGACGTCGCGGGTAATATTGTCCCTTCGTGGACAGACATGCCAATTGAAATGACGTGCGTACTTTCATTTGTTGTTCGTGTGGTCAGACACGTTTATTCCTGCCTTCAGTCAGTGGGAAGCCTACTTCCAGAATCTGCATGATTTCGGAGTGTAAGTCGCCCGGAGATCAAGAGGAGAGGGTTAAGATTATGAAGCTGAAGTCCACAATACTGATACTCGCAACGGAGCCGAGTAGGACATACACCATTTCTTTCACTGGTTGATATCATCCGTTGTCACGGCTGTGAGGCGCATGTAAACTTGTAAAGGGGTGAATTATATGCGAAGGTGTATCAGTTATGTCAAACAATGCATATGTTACTATCAACGCTCGCCGTAAGCCAATTTTGGTGGATGGGCCAATCGATATCGCTGCACAGACCATTGATATTGCGCAGCCACCAAGGGCTAGCGCTTGTACAATACCGATACTATGTTTGGTTCGGCGACATCATCCGTCGAAGCTTGAGCTTAAGCTTCAGGTAAGTAGCGTGGATCTCTGCCTTTCTTAGTCGTGTAGACTTGGGCTGCCATCAGCACAGCGTTGCCACCGAATTTGGCATGGAGGCAGTCAACAATGGGAATCCGAAGGATGCTTCCGTCGCTTCCATTAGCGGGACCAGTACCAGCGGTGGCAAGCCACCGAAGCCTCGCAGACACCGAGCCTGCGATACATGTAGGCGCAAACGAAGTACGCTGCTTCCATCCCGTGTATGAATCCACGTTCTGATCGCAAGTTTAGTTCGCTGTACGTTATCCAAGTTGAGATCGCAACGCTGTTATTCCGAGATTGATGTCGACGTTCTCTCGCCGATGGCTTGACTGAAACATAGGTGATGGCTCTGAAGAGCTAGGCACGCCTTGTCGGAACTGTATCAGTTTTAGGACGGAGTGCACCTACAATGATACCGCGAAGGTGAGGTGCCTCAGTACCACGAATCGAGTTCGGACTAAAAGACATTGTGCAGAAATCAGGCCCCAATAAAGGGTTGGCTGTTCCGAACCCCTAGTTTAGCACGACTAACCCGTGTATGTGCATAGTTATATCCGAGCCTTAGAAGCTCGCATAGCAAAACTAGAACGTATGCTGCGAGAGGTGGGCGATATCGTCCAAGGTGCAGTAATACTCACTGACGTGGCCTTAGGACGGTCGTGAGATACCGAACGAAGATGTAGACCTACTCGAGTGGCAAAGCCGCTCGTCGAGCAAAACAGGGCCAGGTCATGTTACGCCTGGACCTAGTCAGGCTCGGGATGCTACATATCCCGAGTCCATTGCGGATACGGGAACCTCGGACTACGATGCTACATCAGATGAAGAATTCATACAGTCAGAATTGGTAGAAAAGCTTCAAGACCTTTCTCTCAACCCTGTTCATCGGGAACTGCTGGGAAAATCTAGCAACATGCAATTAGTCAAGCGCGCACTCTCCATGAAGGCCTCCGACGCCGACGTTCTCGCCTCATCCTTCACCACGTTTCGGCGGGAGGAATTCTGGACCGCGCAACCTGTACCTGTCCCAGTATTTTGTTTCGGGCTAACACTGACTCTTATGCGATAGTGGGAAATAATCTTACATGACCAAGAACCGCCAGCATATGTTTTTCCGGAGCCGGACTTGCTATGGACCTTGGTCGCAGTGTACTTCGAAAGAGTCAATTGCCTGGCGCCCATTCTTCATAGGCCTACCTTCGAAGCAGGTGTCCGGGAAGGACGCCATTTGCGAGACAGGCCATTTGCTTCTGTAATGTTGATGGTTTGTGCTGTCGCATCTCGCCAGACGGATGATACACGGGTGCTTCTTGAAGGGTCAAATACCTTCAGATCCGCCGGGTGGAAGTGGTTCAACCAGGTCCAGATGATTAATAAGTCAATCCTAGCTTGTCCGACATTATATGATCTACAGCTGCGCTGTGTTCGTCCTCGTCCTCTCGTCTATCGGACCCTAGCTTACAATAACCCATGAAGCTGTATGGGCTATATCTGCCTGGCTCGTCTGTCCCTCAGGCGGCGTGGAGTGCTGTTGGCCAGGGCCTGCAAATGGCTCAAGATGTTGGTGCTCATCAAAAGAGGTTCTATGGTAACCGAGTAACCCTGCTAGCAGAGCTGTGGAAACGCGCTTTCTGGCACGTATTGATTATCGCATTGTATCGGTCCTGTCTTTCTCACAACTCTGATTCTTAGGGTGCTTGTTAGTCTTGACCGAGGAATAGGAGGCGCCCTTGGCAGACTATACAGTCTTCGTGATGACGAGTAAGTAGGTACAGATATGTACCAACCGCCATCTAATTTCTGAGATTCCAACGCCACAGAATAGAGATCGACTACCCGTTGGAGTGCGACGATGATACCTGGGCTGACATAGAAATCGCCACGCCTCCGGTACAAGCGCGTGCACGACCTTCGACGGTAACTTACTTCAATATGATACTGGGGCTTGGAAAGATATATGCGGAATCGGTCTCCCTGCTGGTCTGTCCGCGCTCATAGTATCTTCGCTTCGCTCACGAGGTTTCAGTATCCAAAGGGCTCAGTCGTGCAGCACCGAGGGCTAGATATTCCAGTGATCATGGCGAAGATAGACTCTGCTATGAATGGCTGGTTCAACGACATGCCATCCCATTGTGAGTATATTTTGGAAACCATTTACCGGGTTCTATACTAAGACATTGTAGTACGATGGACGGGAGACCCTCGGGATCCGCTAATCTTCAGGCAGTCTGCATTACTAAATGTCGCATATTATCGAGATCAGCTTCTGATCCATCGTCCCTTCATATCTTTCGATTCCTCGCCCTCTGCATTTGCATTATCTTGCACAACCATCTGCATCAGCGCTGCACGGAGTATCATCAACATCGCCGACACTTACCGACGGAAGGCGGGCTGCGTGATACCGGAAGGACTGGCCATTGTCTTCCCTGGGTGTATGGTTTTGCTCCTTCGACTCGCGGCACAAAATCAGTCCGGAAGAGGACTGGATAACGAGTCCATATTGGAGATTCAGAAGGGCCTCTGCGTCTTGAGGATCGTGGAAGAGAGGTATAGCTTATTTCACTGCTTTCATAACCGTATACAACTGTTTCCAGATGGGCTTTTGCAGGGATTCTAGTGTAAGACGTCTCTCAGGCACTGACGGTAGAAACGATCTGACATACGAACACTTTACAGTGACATGATCATGGGTTTGGCCGCAATCGATAATATTCCTCTCTCGATCCTGACGTCCGGCCCATCTCCAGGGTGGGACGGAGATGCACCTGCCGAGGAGCAGGAGGCAAGTTCCACCCCGGGCGTGATACCGCAACACAGTGGATCAGCCTCTTCTTCCTCCGGAGTGAATTCAGGTGCATATGGAGCTCAGCCACCGAGTCTGCAAGAAAGGGGTACACGGCTCGACTCCAACTACACGGGGTACACACACGCAGTTGATGTTGCAAGTCTGGCATCGGCACCATCAAGCAGCGCAACTCCAACTACCAACGTTCCCTACCCGAACGTGGGCCATATAGCAGATCCCTACCACTTAGGTGTCCTGCATCCGTCGTACCGGGGTGAAGTAGATCCAAGTGATCACGCATATACTTCGTCATTCTCAACAGCGCATGTAAGGTGTTTCAATACTGCCCTGGATCTAACTACTATCTGACAGGTATTTGGCCTCTGTCGTCACGCAGGTCCTAGGCATTGAGCGACATATGCAATCCATATCAGCTATGCATAGCATGGGCCCGGGGGCCTCGGACCAAGGTGCTCATCCGCCTGGTTTATGGCAAACTTATGCCAACACGCAGTTCGCTGCGCCTACCGACGCATCAGGCATGACTGACAATGCTCTCGAGATGCTGTCAGGTATGCCGCCGGCCCTGGGGTACGTTAATCGGTTTGGGCTCAGATGCATTGAGTGTCTGAATGAACCATAAATTACCACGCCAGCTGTGATGACTGGACCGGTTACATGTGGAATACTATCCCCGGATTCACGCAACCGCTAACATCAGATACTGACAGCCGCTTGCAGATCGATAGACCATCAATTCAGAAAACCACGTATAGTCGGAGTGGGTCGGAGGTGGGTTCCAGGGACGTCGGAAGAAGGTAGAGAAGTCCAG